TTCCGACATATGCTCAAGAAGCTCGAAGGAAAAAAAACCCGAATAGGCACGTATGAGGAGGGGATGGGTAGGGAGCCTCCGGGAGAGGAACCCTAACCCCAAACCTTCTGCAATTAGGCCTTCTATCCCGCAGGATGCTTTGAGCGCTGGTGTAAAATAATTCAAGAACAACAGCAACGACCCTGACCTGGTTTTTAAGCATGTCTACGCAGACCTCGCGTCCGAGCGCGGCGATATTGACGTACGACGCTCCGACATACCGACTCGTCCGAGGATCCTCCACCTTCCCAAAACAGGTACAGCACACCATGCCCGAGGAAAGGCACACCATTACCATTCCCAAAAAGGTACAGTACACCATGACCAAGTCAAGAAACACAAGGCCAAGGATGAGACGGCAACGTATGGACACGGCAAGGTTTGGTGAGTCGATTGTGGGTGGTCTAGAGGCGCTTGTCGAGGCAGTGTTGAGAACGCAGCATGCAGTCAATGAACCGTCTGCCTATGGAGCAATCGCACGGGCAGGCAGAAGTCAGTGCCTGCGCTGCCTGCTGTAAGGGAAGCCTGCGCAAGGAGACAGAGCACTGTGCACACCCTATCGTCGGCTCCTAAGGTCGAGGGTCGAAATTGAACAGTGTGATTCCAATAAAAATCTTCTTGCAAGACCTTGCCAATGTGCCATGTGGTGGCCATCACCGCTTGGCCTTTTTACTTGCGTAGAAATCGATGCTTCGGAATGGATCAAAAAGTAGCGTGATACAATTAGCTGAGCTCACATTCGGACGATAGACTACAGCGTGACAGACAACGTGTCGAACACAATATCACACATCGGCACTTGTTCCTACCCCGACAGTCACACCCATCCTACCTAACCGCGTCAGCAAGAGGTTACGGACATGAGGCATCGGCAATCGACATGAGCAATAGCTCGCCTATGATGAACTCTTGCAGTATCAGGAGGATCGATATCGTCAATATTAACAAACAGCTACAGCAGTAGTATGCTGTGTGGACGATTTAAATGCGGCGCGGGTGTTGGCGCGCGGAAGTGCAATAGTAGAGAAGCTCGAGAATTTTGCTGCCAACCAAACTCAATGGGAACTATTGTGGACTGCCAAAGAGAGTACAGTCAACAGCTCTACGCCGCATCGCGTTGGAGAAAGATGAAGACAAACTTCGCGGGACACGCACCAAACTGAGAGCCGACAAGGCTTGAAGCACTCCGTTCCCGATTAGCAGCGGCCCCTTGTCAGCCCTGGGTTTGGTCGCGCGCGAAGAAGGAGGGGGATGTGGGGCGAACGGTGGCTTGGTTTCAAACCTTCTTTCTTTCTTCTTCGAGCGAATTACAACTATGGTCCATGCTCTACATTCGGAGCGATTCAATGGGTCAAATTGAATAGCAGCTCATTTCGTCTACTGTAATTTTACACGTTTATTTGTCGGCCACGTGACGCTGTCGGTAGGAAGAAAGGGCACGTGCCTGGTGGACAACTCGTAGATGGACTTGGCGCATTTCCGCCGCATGAGCGTGGCTTCCTCCTCCTGTCTTTCTCTTTGTTTGAAGACAGCGGCGTGCGCAGCAGGGGTGGGAGGGGGATGGGCTGGCACAATTGGAGGCGCCATTGTAGGAAACCGTTCTTGACAACAGAAGTCTACGTGGCCCACAAAAGGCACTTGCATTCGCCGCTCAGCACCTTGTAAGAAAAAACGGTCAGAGTTGTACAGGAACGTACTGCATGGCAGGCACGTACAAGCCGTCCAAACCCGTCAATGTACCGTTTGATAAGCTACACTTATTTCGATGCACCAGTTTTTCGTAGTGGCAAACATGTGGCCGGGGTAGCACGGACAGAAGAGAGAGGTCACCCTCGAATCGCCGTCAGCATCACACGACTACTGTGCACAAGGCGGCGGCACGAACCCTCACGTTTCCAGGTCCCGTGGCTCATGTTCCTCGTCAGATACGTCTCCTCCACTCTTCGAACAATCGAGTCCAGCAAGAAAAACCGCTGCCGTCTCGGGCAACCCCTTCGCTGTAGGTATTGCTCGATTAAGCGCTATCTCTTTCATGATTTTCCTGCAGCAAACACAATGGTTGTGGATTGGAGCGGTGGCATTGTGGGAAGGCAAGCCAGCGAGAGCAAAGAAACACCATTGACATGGAACGGCCATTCGTAGATTTTAGCGCGTGTACGACACCCCCTTGCATAGAGATCAAGACACCAGTATCAAGTTTGCTCGCTGTTGGATCTGTCTTCTCAGATGCAGCGTAATTTTCAGACTGTGGACAAGTTACCCAACGCCCCATTATTCTCTCGTTCGACGACTAGCCAAGGGTCACAGAGAGCACAAACATTGCAGGCCGGTACATCGTACGCCATGGCACCACCTTCAGCTCCCCATGTTCCTTCATTTGTTCTCTCTCTTGTTTTCTCTCGTTTCCTGTCTCCCCGCCCTTGGGTCCTCCGTCTGTCTGTCTGTCTGTCTGTCTGTCTGTCTGTCTGTCTGTCTGCCTGTCTGTGTCTGTCTGTCTGCCTGTCTCTGTCTGTCTGCCTCTGTCTCTCTCTTTGTCTCTTTCTCTCTGTCTCCCTCTCTCCCATCGTCCCGCGTTGTTCGTCACACTCACCAGTTGGGATTGAGCCCCGCCCTAGCCTGATACAGAATACCCTCCGAAGTGTCTTCTTCGAAGTCTCTCCACCCCTTCTCGACCAGCGGCCTACCGGTGGAAAGGCGGCGCTTGTGGGCATCCTCTCTCGGCGCCCCTCTCTGGAAGGGAGCTAGCATCCCCACATACGAAGGAATGGGGTAGACCGTGCTGCCCTCTGCAGCGATTTCATGGCGTACTCTAGCCGAAATGAGCCCCTGCCGTATTCGCTCGTAGTTCGACGCCGTTCCAGCCCCTCGCTTGTTACTGGAGGCTGGACGAGCAGCGCTATTACCTCGGCTTCCTGATCCGGTGGGTCGTTTGTGCCGGATGGGCTGGCGAGCCTTAAAGTGAAACAGCAGGACCTGTTCTTGGTTTACCCCATTCCCGTTTCCAATACCAACGGTTATGCGAGAAGTGAGACAGAGCAATATCAGCTGGTGCATCAAAACGTTTCGCGACTGCTGTAGGATGGGCGCCCACACCACAACGAAATTCTAGCTTGTAGAGCAGAAGCGTTCATCCAACCTCAAGTTCTTAAGCACTTCACCCTCCCTGATGTAGCAGTGAACGATTTGCTATTCTTTGCGCCAAAAAAGACTGCGATACCTTCAAACCATACATGACCACGGTACTCTAGCAAATGTAGCGTCTATACACGTTGCGCAATATTCAATATCCAAAGCCTTCCGTTGAGAATTTCAGTTCTTCCCCCGTGCTTCTCCGCTTGCAACATGCATCGAACAACAGTAACACATGTTAGAGTCCTAGCAGGGCCCGAAAGGCTTAGGAGAAGTGCACGCGTATTCAATTCTACTCTGTTCACCTTGAGAGCAACAATTCAGAATCACCTTGATAAAGTCTTCCCTGGTGACATGTTTCTTCCAAAAGCTCTGTCCTGTATTGAGCTTGAGCTCACGGATGACCCACTTCAGGCCCTGCAACACGATCCCCGGTGAAGTAGACATATGTCAATGAAGGTTAAGACCTTTATCCGAGTACATGTAGGTGGAAATTCAGCGTATCTTTGTCGGAGGACTTACCTAAAAGATGGAGAGGAGATCTCTCAGCCCAGCTACCGTCGGAGGCAGGTGGGTGTCACGACGATGAAATCATACTACTATTACTGTACACATCGGTGATAGATTGCAACTCCATATGGCACCAGTCAAACGGCGTGCCCACCAGAAGATAAGGCTTTCAAACACAGTCGACCCTGCTATAAAGACACACCACGTTTCCCCCCAAAAAAACACGCGGGGAAGTGTCTTTCAAATTCCGGGGCCACTAACGCACCATCCCCGGGGCCAATGAAGGCGAAACATATGTCAAAAGGTGCGCATTCGCAGCAGAAAGGCGACCACAAGAGGTGTTGTTTGAAACCTACGACACAAGGTGATTTGAAGGTCGCAACCACTGCTGCTATTGTGCTGCAATACATACTTGCATACCATCGTTTGAATTTCCCCGTACTGTACCACCAAAACGCTGAAAGCGATGGTGTTCTACGACCTACGCATCGTACATGTACACGACGGTAGTGCGCTGGTGTTGATATGGGCTTAATTATTTGCTTTATTTTATTTTTTAGGCGTTGTCCTCCCCGTGAATATCTTGTCCAAGACCTCGCTTCTGCACCTGAGAAATATCGAAGGTCGTAAAACGACACTAGGAAAATGTAGGTTACGCACAGACACAGAGACCAAAAATGTCGGGAAAGCACAGCGACAAAGAGGACACCGCGCCTCCCAAAAGGTCAAAACGAGGCACAACACAACACAAACGCCAAATTCAACCTCACGAGACTTCACCCAAGGCAAACAACGAACGTTGGCAATAAAAAAAGTGCTTTGCTCTCGAAACCAAAAACTACACCCGCCACATATCCCGAAGAAGAGTCGCCTGCACCTCCCCCCCCTCCTTTGCTCTTCGCTTGACCTGAGTTTCATGAGTAAACGAATGCACAGTCTTTGAAAGAAGGTACGCTGTTTCGCTGTACTCGTCGTCTCTTCCATGTGTGTACAAGTAAGAGCGGACATCTTCGAGACGAGAGCGAGCCTCGCCCTCTGAAATCGTAGATTTATGCACGACTGGCCTACCTTGATCGCCTTCCTCTCCACTGGACACGTCCTCCTCGACGTGTACGTTTGACATGTTCTCCGTTACNGAGGACACCGCGCCTCCCAAAAGGTCAAAACGAGGCACAACACAACACAACAAACGCCATATTTAACCTCACGAGACTTCACCCAAGGCAAACAACGAACGTTGGCAATAAAAAAAGTGCTTTGCTCTCGAAACCAAAAACTACACCCGCCACATATCCCGAAGAAGAGTCGCCTGCACCTCCCCCCCCTCCTTTGCTCTTCGCTTGACCTGAGTTTCATGAGTAAACGAATGCACAGTCTTTGAAAGAAGGTACGCTGTTTCGCTGTACTCGTCGTCTCTTCCATGTGTGTACAAGTAAGAGCGGACATCTTCGAGACGAGAGCGAGCCTCGCCCTCTGAAATCGTAGATTTATGCACGACTGGCCTACCTTGATCGCCTTCCTCTCCACTGGACACGTCCTCCTCGACGTGTACGTTTGACATGTTCTCCGTTACCTCTTCCATCTCGAGTTCTACCTCATTCCTCAAGACCTCTTCATCGTCCTCTACACTAAGCTAAGTACGCATTGCGCTGCGCACTGCTTCTGTGAGGCCAGAGGCGCTCTCGACGAACATGTTGTCCGTCAACACTCGCGGCTTAGACCTAGCGTCCAGGTCCTTGGCACTCTCCGGCATGGACATCTTCTCGACCATATCGCACAGGTCGTCCAGGGCGGTCGCCCCCGGGTCTTCTCGGTCCAACCGCGTGTCGTTGTCCTTGAGCGCGCTCTCGTGCTCCCCAGGACGAATGGTGGCCTTGAGCCAGCACCTGATCACAGTCTGGTCCGAAAAGCTCTCCCACTTTTGGGAAAGGACCTCCGTCACATCCAGCATTGTCGGCTGGCCTGCGTCGTTCAGGCCCCTGCAGCCCCTGCGAAACNATGCACGACTGGCCTACCTTGATCGCCTTCCTCTCCACTGGACACGTCCTCCTCGACGTGTACGTTTGACATGTTCTCCGTTACCTCTTCCATCTCGAGTTCTACCTCATTCCTCAAGACCTCTTCATCGTCCTCTACACTAAGCTAAGTACGCATTGCGCTGCGCACTGCTTCTGTGAGGCCAGAGGCGCTCTCGACGAACATGTTGTCCGTCAACACTCGCGGCTTAGACCTAGCGTCCAGGTCCTTGGCACTCTCCGGCATGGACATCTTCTCGACCATATCGCACAGGTCGTCCAGGGCGGTCGCCCCCGGGTCTTCTCGGTCCAACCGCGTGTCGTTGTCCTTGAGCGCGCTCTCGTGCTCCCCAGGACGAATGGTGGCCTTGAGCCAGCACCTGATCACAGTCTGGTCCGAAAAGCTCTCCCACTTTTGGGAAAGGACCTCCGTCACATCCAGCATTGTCGGCTGGCCTGCGTCGTTCAGGCCCCTGCAGCCCCTGCGAAACAATGATGCAAGGAACACAGGGTAAAAAAAAAAGGTTAGATTGTTAATCACCAGAGAGCGAGTGGATTTCGCTGGATGCGGTGTAGGGCAGGATATTTTGATCGGAGACCTTTTTGAGGCAGCACTAGTGCTGTTGACTGCTGTTGAATGGCACTCGCCTACAGTGGTAATCCGGTACATGTCTGCACCAACTGCTGTCGAACAAACTCGCCTGACCAGCACCAACAGAACTGAACCCGCAGCCACAAGAACGAGTCACTACCTTTGCCGCCCCCACAACACAGTCTTACGTTCGGATTTGGCGCGCACGCGCTGTATCCCAGTCCTCGATGAGGGCCGCCAACCTCATCACCATCTCCGTCTTGTACTGGCACTTGAGAGCAAACAGGATCCCCATGTCCATAGGCTGAAAGACGGACATGACGTTGGGGGGCAGAAAGATGATGACGATTTGCGGGTCGTCGTTCTTGATGCGGTGGCCTGGGCAGTTGTCCCACAAGAGAGCCACCTTCTTCCCAGTCGTCTTCTTGACAAAGGGGACGAAGACTTTGTCGAACCACCGCTGGCAGAGTGCAGAGTCCAGTCAGGCACTCTTCTGGGCGTAGTAGGGGCAAGCTGGCTTGCGGACGTGGCGGAAAACCATGGGGTCTTTCGCCGTGTGGATGACGGCCAGCGGCACCTTGAGCGACCCGGTGGTGTTGCAGCAGGCGACAACAGTGCACCGATCCTTGGCCTTCATGGCCTTCGATCCCCGCGCGTTCTTCTGGTTGAGTCCCGCTGCACCCTCTGGCCTCGTGACATACGTGCCCCTCTGGAACAGCGGTGGAAAAGCCCCGTCTCGTCCATGTTGAAGATCAACTCGACGTCAAAGCCCTCAAGCTGCTCCCGAATCTGCGCGATTTTCTTCTCAGCCGCAGCCTTGTTCACGTCACCAGCTTCCCCGTGCAGGTTGNGTTCTTCTGGTTGAGTCCCGCTGCACCCTCTGGCCTCGTGACATACGTGCCCCTCTGGAACAGCGGTGGAAAAGCCCCGTCTCGTCCATGTTGAAGATCAACTCGACGTCAAAGCCCTCAAGCTGCTCCCGAATCTGCGCGATTTTCTTCTCAGCCGCAGCCTTGTTCACGTCACCAGCTTCCCCGTGCAGGTTGATGTGCACGAGGCCGTAGCGAGAAAGGAAGCGATGTAGCCAGCCGTTGCTCGCGGTGAAGTGGGTCACGTTCATCTCCGCCGCGAGCTTCGGGGCCTGGGTCTGGATCATGATACCGCTCAACCCGAGCTTGGTTGTCGGCATGTTCGTGAGGCAGCAGCAGCAGAAGTGGATATTCGAGCGATGTTGGCGGTTGTTTGGAATCCATGTACCTGCTGCAACAGGTTGTAGCACAACAAAACAACGCCGGCTACTGCTGTTTAACAGAAAGGAAACGAGGCGGCCAGAGATGTAAAAAAGAAAAATGACCGAACGACGTGGGGTCCCTACCTCACATCGTTGTCGTGCAATCTTGATCCACTGGTTCAAACGAGCCTCCAACTTCGCGTGTACCGGCGTTGGTGTGCGTTTGGGACCCATGTTGAGCTCTATGTCACGGGCCTTCTCAAGCGCGGCGATCATGGGAGGTTTCATCAGCTTGCTGACGTATGCCTTGCCCACATTGTAGTCTGCCGCAACCTTGCGCTTTTGCCGGCGGCCTCGGACGGCCTCAACGATCTTCCATCGCTGCGCGACTGTCAGCTTGTTCTTGCCGTGGTCCGATCCGGGCTTCGCTTGCCGCCCTTGCCGCCGCCCTTGCTGCCTCCCGCGCTGCCGCCGGGGGTGCTGCCCGTGTTGTCGCACGCGCTGCTGCCAGGACCAGGTGCAGCCCGTTTCCCCGCGCTACCACCCAACCCAGCATCAGCCGCGGCACGTCGCTTCCCCTTTCCTCCAAGCGATGGCTCCACCTCTTTAGGCGATTGTGTAGTGCTGCGGTCATCAGAGTAAAGTGGAAGAATTGAATGCGTGACAATTAGATCAGAAACATTGTACTACATACTATAGTTCTTGTCCTTCGCTGGAAAACCTCTTGCAAAGATAAACGATGCAAAAAAAATTGGTAAAAGTATTTGACAAATGTGATACTCCGTAGGTTGCAATATTTCGTGCGCAACATTTACACATATAACAGCATATTGGTGAAATTGAGAGCGAAGCATCTGATTGAGAGCGAGATTGCGCGATGCGCTGCAGCTGGACTACTGCTGAGAGGTGGAGCTTGCTGTGTAGCTTGAATTGAAGGGCCAGCCCGTAGCTACAAGCAGATACCCTGGTCATCCTGTGGGAGTCTCTCGATGCGGAGTTACAACGGCGAGCAGAAGCTACAGCAGAGCCCACCGCCCGAGGCCAAACCGCCCTGCAACAGTTTGAGGCAGAAATAGCCAATCTGGGGAAATCTAGCAACTTGTCTAGCTCCTAGCTGCAACATCCGATGACGATGACACACATATGCTCGTGACGCTGCTGATGAGACCTTCAATTTGCGCCGCCTCTTGGAAGGGCCCGCCCCCTACTTGCCAAGAAATGGCAAGACGCGTCTGGACCCGATTTTTATTTTTTGTGGCTGTCGCTCTCAATTTCATACTTCACTCTCAATTTTACCAATATGTTGTTATATGCACAGCACACGTCGTCACTGAAGCGAGAAAGGCGCGTATGGAAGGGGAGGGTGCAGCGCTGAAGTCATGTTGCGGGGGATTTTGTGTGACTCGGGAGACCATGTCTCTCTCCAACGCAGAGAGTTGACGCCATTTTTGAAGGCACACAACAATTTTCACGAGCAGCATCTTTCGGAGCTTCTCGTGTCCAACAGCACAAAAAAGGCCATGGGTTCAAACTGTATTTTTTCTACAAGCAAAATAGCGAATGCACGTGCGAAACATTGTTTCTGGTTCACGAGTACCGCTGTATCGCGACGCGTGCTCGCGGCGTCGTTGTAGAGAGCCGTTGCTGCACGCACGGGCGCGCGCACACACACACACAAAGGCCTCGTCACGACCCTCACGGGTGGGCAGGCTAAGAACACATAGGTGGCACCATCTATCTCAGAGCCTACATTTGGCAGACAGTGCCTTCGACCCTTCGACGGCGGTGGTATCTCCTTCTCTCACGGAATCACAAATTTTTGTTTGGACAACAGGCGTACAACCTAAGACTGACGACTTTTCATTGGTCAGCCGGTTAGCGCGGTCGATGCTAATAAACACACACACACACACACACTCCCAGTTCATGGTAGATAGAAGTGTTTTGTGTTTTCAACCGCACTAAGACTGACGTCTTTTCATTGGTCAGCCGGTTAGCGCGGTCGATGCTAATAATAAAAACACACACACACACACAC